AAAAAAAAAAGTGTGCATGATTTTGAAATTAAAGAAACTTTGTGATAATTTATGACCGTCTTAAGTGAAATGTAATGAAGGCTTCAACAGAAACAGTTTAACGGAGACCCGATGTTAAAACCTTTCAGCACACCAACTGAACAAACGTCGTAAAGGGGCGTGGTTTTCCTTCAAATTCGGCACTTCAGTACCTCAGCTCTGGGGTCTAACAGCGATGCAAATAATACTTGTGTTAGGTCAGCTGAAACGGCATAAAAACAACTGCGGTACATAGAAAATTTCAGGGCTCTGAGTAGTTTTTTCCTCTATAGAGTTTTAAGACAAGATTCTCCCTTCCCGGATGGAGCCTCACAAAAGTCCACTGCCGCCTTAACAGGGTTGCAAAACACCTTTTACTCTACAACTCAGAAGGCATTTCTTTAACAATCGTCTCCTTTCCTTCACCACTAATTCAAGCGCAGATCTGTGTGGAACGTCCAACGTATCTACAGTGAACTCATTTGAATGAGTGAAGAAAGAAACCGACGGAGGCATCCCAACAGTTCGACAGGATAAAGGCTTAAGGAGGTGCGGTCCGAGACACCTGCCTTTGTGAACTCCCGAACATTATCCCTTAAAAGCCATGAGACGAGGACTACCACAGCTAGAAGTCGTTAAGGTCCATTCATCGTGTTGGAGAGGCACCGATCAACTCCTTTTTAACGTCCATCCAGAGTGTGTCTGCATGTGTGTGTGTGTATGTTTTGTCTGGTGCGCTCCCAAAGGAAAAAAAAAAATACAAGTTTCAATAAACCCGAGTTTCCAAGGAAAATCATGCTTAGCTATCAGTGTTTTCACAGTTGTCACTTTTATCCGACAGGATTTGTTTTTTTGTGTGTGTGTGTTTTTTTTTTTTTTTTTTTTTTTTTTTTGTTGTTTTTTTACTTTTTCCAAGGTAGATAACTGCAGCACCCAGAGGAGAAGACAGTAAGCACTGGAGATGATCTACCTCACTGATCAGGTCCATCCTTGGTCTCATCATAAAACACTATTCTTTTTGGATCTACAGCAGAGAAGAGGCAGACAGTCAGGAACGGAACAACAACAGAATCATACAAATGATCATAATGTAAATACATTTTACAATCATTGTTTTTGAAACTGCCAATAACATTGAAAACATTTGGTATTGCAAGTCTGCGCTGCCAGCTGGCTCGACTACAGAGCCATTCACCAGCAGGATATAGATTACACTCATCACTTCAACAGGGGTTTTGATTAGGATTACTGTTGAGATATAACAAGTCAGATCACCATCATGTGATGCTATACAGCTATTCATCCACTGAAGTGTTTTCTGTAGCAATAAAAAAATAATAATAAAATAAAAAATAAAAAAAAAGTGAGGATAGAAAAACGGTTCCCTTACCTTGTTTTTGCAAGTTGAAAATGGATTCCATTTCTGTTCAAGGAGAAAAGGAACATCAGTTCATAGCCCCAAAAAGTTTTCTATAAATATAAAAGCCAAGCAATAAAACAGTACAATCACATGTACGGTCGTTCTGACAACACTGTTTGGGGTGGAAGGTTTTGATGAAAACCAAAGTACCCATTAAGAAGCTCTTATCCATGTGGGCCGTTCATTCCGGTTGGCAATCAGTAGAAAGTTAAAACTGAACATGTTAAAGCAAAATTACCTTATTTGATTCATTTGCAATTTTTTTTTAAATCATTAAAAATATTTAAAAAGTAAGAGTCCAATTTTGTGCATTATGGGACAGACTGGATAACAAAACGTTGGTCATTTTTAAGTTTCATATTCAAAAAGCTAAAAGTCACCATTCTCTGGAAAGTGAAAGTCACCATGGCTATTAGTAGCCATGGTGACAACTAATAAGAAGCTAAAGAGTTAAAAAATAAATCATTGTCGTTGCTTTGAAACATTGGTCAAATCCTGTTTAACTGCGGAGCTGTGTAACACCAACGCCTCTCTCCCTCTCTCACAGTGAAACATCCTACATTTACAACAAAATATTCTCACAGCTCCGTCGTCTCAATAACAGAATGATTTAATGGTAAGAGCATTTTCCAATCTCATACAAAGGTTTAACTTATTTTGAAATAATATTTTAGGGAGGAAAAAAACTTATATGGGAATTCATCTGCAGGTCAGACCTTCACTAAATCTGTTTTTTTAATACAGGTGCAGATCCTTTCAATGAATTAGAAAGTAATTGAAAATATTTCAGTAACTCAATTGACTAAGTGAAACATACAGATTAAATGTGCACAGATATTCTCAAGCCTTCCGTTCTGATAATTATGCAGATGTTTTAATAGATAATGAAAACATTGCATTTGGAATCAGAATATTAAAATAGTCCAATGAAAAAACAAATGTTAACACAGAAGTGTGAGCTTAATGAAAAGCATGTTTAATATCTAGTTAAAAATCTTTTCAAAAACTACCATTAATTTGACATACATCAAAACACTTTCAAAATATGAGATAGATTTACAGACTTCTCTTTCCAAGTGCATTCTAAGAGATCCTAATAAATCTCTCATCTTTCTTAAGACTTGCAATTCACTTAGAAATTACTACAACCACATTTCTTAGTTCTCCATACAGAAACCATGATCATCTTAAAGACTTTTTAAGAGTCATCAAATGAACAGGGTAGGGGGTCGCCATGGGGAGGGGGCACACTACTTTTTCCATTTCTATGTCTTATTCTACCCATTGTAAATATACCATATTGTACATGTTGTGGATGTAAAACAACTAAAATAAAAACATTTGATTGCAAAAAAAAAAAAGTCATCAAATGAAGACTCACTTTACAGCTAAGGGGTGAGACTATGGGAGGACATATTGTTTATCATGATAAATTTCTTAGAAGAATTTGGTTCATCGTTGTTGCAATAAATTTCAGTTATTGATGATAACAAAACTGACAGCATCATCGGAAATGTTATATTTACTATTTTCATCAATAGTTGTTCCACAAGAGTATGAATAAATATCTGTGAATTCAAAAAGCTAATTAAATGTAGTTACTGCGTGCAGCTTAGTGATATAAATTTTACTTATTTAACTAAGTAGCATCTTGAAGAAGCTTGTAAAGAGAAATATTTTTCATGAACAGAGTTTGTGTTTGTATGGCTACAAATATTGTGCCTTGCATTCACAGCCATACAGTAACCGAAAAAGGATAATAAAGTTTTTCTCTAGTATAAGTTTATCACAATACTACCACAAAATATTGCGATAAAAATGTAAGTTGATATCACCCAGCCCTAGATGAAATGTGTATCTGACCAGAGCAGAGAGTGAAAGTTACCTTTAGTGTGATAGGTGACGGCAGCTTTAAGGTCAAAGGAACCCCAGCTGGACCTCCTGCCAACGTCTTTTGGGTGGATCTGTTCTTTAGAGGAACCAAACAGCACAGTTGTCTGCTGGCCCACTGCAGGCTTAGCACCGTTGTCTTTACTGGGGCCCAGCAGAGAAGAACCCACTCCCTTCAGCTCCACTTTCGTCTTTTCCTGGACACTTGGCTGCAGCTTGGTCTCCTCCTCGCTCGCCGTGCTAGCAGGAGAGCAAACACTGGATACTTGGCAGGGGGCACAAGTCCTTTTCTCCGCTTCTTGAGAAAAAGCTTCAGCTTCTAGAAATGGGCTAATGTCAAAGAGGGGCTGGGCAACCTTGGCTGGGACAGCCTGACTCCCGTTGTGAGAAGTCACAGAAGTCTGGTCCTCGGCAGGCACGAACCCGTTCCCTCCGTCGAGAGCCGGGTTGGGCTCGTTGATGAACGAGAGCCCCCACTGGTTCTGGAAGATGTCCCCTAGGGCTTTCTGATTTGTCTGAGCAGCCGGTGGGTCGAGGTGGCGAGCGCTCGGGAGCACGGGTTGCATATTTAAAGGGTAGATTAAAACAGTACACTTTCTGAGCTCGCTCGCCTCGCCGTCTACGGGACTCGTCGTAGAGCTACAGCTACTTTCCAAAGAAGATGCTACATTCTCGCCACTTGGGACAGACGGGGCTGATTGAACACAACTAGCAGCAGGAGCAAAGAAGGTGCCCACGGACGGGCAGCCGTTCCCGTTCCCAGGAACAGGACCGTTAGTAAAGCTAGCCGAGGTGATAGTTTTCATAGCAGACATGGGGACCTGGGACAGTCTCACAGGAGGAGGCGCTGCCTCTCCTCCGCCTTGAGCTACTTTATTGAGGTTCTCTTTTACTTTGCTTGCATAACTGATCTTGGGAACTATTTTAGCACTGCTATTGTCCACAGGAAATACAGGAGGGGGCTTGAACAAAGTCCACGAGTCCTCTTTTGAAGGTGAGGAAAGCTTGCCCTTGTGCTTTTCCTCTGCTTTCTTACCAAACGTGCTAGCTGCTTTACCTTCAGAGGTTTTCCTCTGAGGTTCGGCGACTGAAGTCTCTGACGCGACGGCCCGTTTAGCCGTCGTCTGAGCTTCTGCTTTGTAGCCGGACCGGAAGCCGTCGAGTCTGTACGCTGTTCCTTTCTCGGGCGTCTCGACACTCGAGGCCCCCGGCTCCTGCGTAGTGTGGCGTGGCTGCATGTCTCTCTCTTTGTCTTTCGTCACATTATCGGCACTCTTGGTGTTGCCGCATCTGCCCTTTCGTTTCTTCGGGGTGGTGTATCCGCCTTCGGAGCCGCTTCCGTCATTGTCCTTACTGGAATAGCCGTTAGTGATGAGGCCACAATTCACAAGCCCGTTCTGAAGCAAAGCAGAGTCTTTCTTGTCTGAAGGCTGAATCTCATAATGACTCAAATCCAGCGCCTTCTCCTTGTCATTTTTTAAGTCCATATTCTTCTTATGCTCAGAGAATTTGCTGCTCACTTTCTGAACAGAGGTGTAGTGCTTCTGCAGCCCTTTCTGCTTCACATTTGGGTTACTTATGTGTCTATCATCATTGCTGCTGGAGGAATGGGACATACCAACAGTGTAGGGCAGGTGTGGATTTTTCTCCCCCTCCTCGTCGGTGATGTTTACATTTTTACTACCTGCAAGGAAAAACAAAATCAGTTAAACGGAAATGGGCCACTGATAATTTCTGCTTTACCTTTCTAGCTTTGGGTGTTTTTGTATTAGAAGACAACATTATGATATGAAAGAAGAATACTATGAAAGTCACATTTTCTTCACTCCATCTCAAGAATTAGTAAAAACAGCAGTAAAAAAAAACCCTCACACATCTTAAGTGTAGCTCTATTTTGTACCATTTTTTTCTTTTTTAAGGGGTGCAAAGGTGAGTTGTTCACATATTTTACACCTGCTTTGTGTTAACCTGAATCCACTTTGACAGCTTTCATTAGGGCCACATGGTTCAACAAGGATCAGAACGTCCGCCGCAAAAAATATATAAAAAAATAGTGCGTTACTAAGCAAGGAATATTTACAAAAATCATGGCACATCAATAAAATATTGAATTTTTTCTCCCACCATTCTGATGGTTTAAAGGTTGATGAGTAACCTGAGTCAAAGCAAGCACACTGAATATGTTGTTGATTGAGGACTACCAAAACTATCAGGTGTTTATCCTACATTTGCATATGATTAATCTCAAAATCCATACACAAATAAAAAACAACTTAATATTTTGTAACTAATATTATCAAAGTCTTTATTATGTTGGCAGCAACAGGAAGGTTGCTAACTTCTGTTTTAAAAAAAAGGCAAAAAAAGTTACGTTTTTCCCCTAAAGTAATCATACATTGAGAAGAATATAAAAACATATTTTTGAAATGATATAAACTTAAAGTGATTTGAGCCATTTTCCTACATTTATCACCAAGATTTTCGAAAACACCTCAAGCTAAGGAAAAATAATTTGGTACTTTCTGGTTTTAGCACGTGATATGCATTGATTTTTTTTTTTAGCACAAAATGGTTTTATTTTGTGTTAAAATAAAAAGAATAAAACCCGCATTCTTTCGTGGAACCAAAAGAATAGTAAATGTCAATGTGTTTATGCAATGGTAAAAGCAACCTAAATTAAATCTGTAGGGAAGAAAATAAATTAAACATTTCCATATTCACAGAAAACTAGATCCAGCAGAATGATCTAAAACAATAATTAAGATACATCTGAAACAGATTTCAAAAAAGGTTCGGTTTGCAGTTATAAAAAGTCAAACTTTTTTTTTTTTTACATTTGAAATAGAATGTAGCTAATTATGTAGCTTCAAATTTGATGCACTTCAAGATCAAGTGCAGGAAGGTAAACCCCATAGCTATATTTAAAATATAAATATAGATTAACGGTGAACCTTGACTGGGCCTTGGAATTGCACGGATACAAGAGAACTGCTGTGTCAACATGGGACTTCCCACTATATAGTGTTTCTCCACCCTGATGTTTGTTGGCATTGCACACATGGGATTCTGTATATAGCCTAACCACCCGGCCCCAGACGCAGTTGTTTGCTTTTTAGTAAACATATGCAAGTAAAAGTAGCTGTCAGCTACTGTATTTTCGATGCTATCTGTTCAGCTGCGTGGCTTCATGCTGACCAAACAACACGCAAAGGGCCCAGTCAGGCCAGACGGCTAACGCTAGCTAACTTCGACCAACCTGTAAGCTCACAACAGTTGCTCGTCATGTCATTTCCACCAAACAGTTGCTAGAAGAATAAGGTAAAAGAGTTTCAAATGAGGTGGGGGGGAAAAGCCTCGTACTTTTACACCGTTCTCCAGCTAGCCGGGTAAGTGTGGCGTTAGCTCGCGCTGATATTCTAACATGGCCGACAGGAAATGGCAGCAGAGAAAATTCCAGCGGAGCCGGTGTTGTTTCCTAAGCTGGATGCGAACATGCTGGAGTCAAACACATCAAACTTTGGCTCATTTGAAAGGCCGCCGGGGAATTGAGAACACAGCGGAACCAGGAGGGGTAGTTTATCAATCCCTCTGGTTATATTAGTGAAAAGAAAACTGGGTGGTGAAACCGGTGTACAAGGTCAATCCCCGATGTGTCAAAACCACCTACAGCAGCAATAACTGTCACGCTACGTCAGCTAGCAAGCCTGCTAACACAACTTCGGGGCTCTCGTATAAATGTACCCGACGGTCGAGCTACTTAACAGCTTTTCCTGTAATTCGTGTTAACGCCAAACCGCTAGCTAGCAGCCTAAGCCCCAATCACGTTAGTTAGCAAATGCTAGTCGGCTCGCTGACATTAGCCAACTTTTCCGGATGGCCCAACCTGTTTTCTTCGCCTGCGTTTCCTGATGCTGGCACTGGAACTGGCTCTGATCATGTTTCAGACACGCCGTGCGCTGAATGGAGCTCCGGTCCTCTCCGTTGTGATGGTGCTGCCTGTCTTGTGCCCGATCTTTGGGCTGTTCCTCCATTGAAGTGAAGAATGTCGGGCTTGTGCTCCACAGTCAGCGCGTTAGCTCACTGCACGGCACAGGACAGTCCAATCACTACCAGAGTGAAACGGAAGCTATTTGAAGCTTCTGTAAACGTCAGCAGTAAATGGCTAAAAATGGCACTGTTTTGGATGGTCACAGCTCCTAAAAAAATCCATGTGTAGAATTTATGTAGATGATCGCACGGGATTATTTTTTTGTTGTTGTTGTTGTCGTTGCAAGACTTTCTTTGTGCAGATGTTTAAATTGTCGTTATGCATTATAATAAAGAGCGAGAGACATTTGGGAATCTTTTTCAGTGTGGAAAAGGATCGGGGTGGGGTTCGTGTAAGAGCCAAAAATCATATGACCCGAGGCGCTGCCACGTCTCCAGCCAGTGGACACACTTCGGTGGAGGATCATGTTGAGAACAGCCCCTCTCCTAAAATGGAAAGGCAGCGTATTGATACCGATAAGCTCATAAGATATTGTTTAAATACAAAATTATGGGGGGGGGGGGGGAAAAAAAAAAAAAAAAAAAAAAGGTTTGAAAAAATTTTTGACAAAAAAAAAAAAACCTGT